GCTCAGGTCCCTTCTGACCCTAGAAACTATGAAACTATTACTTAAAAGCTGTGGAACTGGGAAACTGACAACAAGAGGTCCTGGAAATCATTTTTAGAAAGTGACTTCTGATAATATTAGCACATAAAACAGATACGAAGAAAATGTAAATAAAATTTGGACTCATACCCAAATTTTTCTAAGATTACATACCACCACTTGACTCTCTTTCCAAAATGAATCTACCACAATACCATACATCCATTGTGAGAGCAATCTAATATTTCCTATATTATTAGAAATTATTTTAAAGCAGCAGTTGTAATTTACATTTTTGGGGGTTGTTTTATTTTTGTAAAGGATGTAAGGCACCACTGATGTAACAGATCTAGATACATCTCCTGAATACAGCCTGACAATTTTAACTGTGTAATGGTTTCATTATGTATTTGGATGTGAGCTGGACAACAGGAGAAAGCCTTCAGAATTACTTCATTTTTTGATCTTGGGTCAAATTTGCTGAAGTGTCTAAGTGAATTAGGATCCTCAGTGCCACTTTCAAAAGTGATTTGACATGTATAAGGTTACTAGGACTTAGACCCCTAGGTTCTAAAACTGCCATTTGAATGCTTTTAAAAACTTTACCCAACATCTGAATTTGAAGCCAGGCCTGAAGGTAGAATTTTCCCAGAAATAGGGATTCACAGTTTTCTATCTCCATTTGGGCCAGAAACAACTATTGAAAGAAAAGCCTCCTGCTCTATGTGAACATTGTAAACAATCATTAGAAGATCCTGAGGCTATTTTATAATGTAAACATTTCGGAAAATGTTGGCTTCTCCCACTACAGAAACATCTTGAATGATGGCAACTAACAGGCAAGAGCCAGCAGAGCTTTGAATGTTTATAGTTCTAATGCTTGTGAGACAAAGTGAGCCAGACTGTGCCCGTGGTATAATTATAATGGTTTTGTGATGCATCCAGGGTTTTACTGAAGCCCAGAATGAAAATAGAAACTCATTTTCCGGTTAGACCTATATTAGGATTTGAACACAGGTTTCTTTTCTAGAAGTGTAAAGCTAGTGCAATAACTGCAATTAACCCATTACTATACCTAAAACATATGAGATGATGAGGCATATATTACTAGTAGGATTCCTTTAGTTAGGCTCTTTTCTCAACAAAGAGCAAGTTTATTTAGAATAACTCCATCTAGTCATCTTCTGCCATCTTGCTTACACTTACATGTGTGTTGAGGTGGTAGGCTTGATACTTTTGGGCAACCACATAACAATACAAATCTCATTAGAAAATGCTAATGCAGTTAGTCTCTATGTTGTGGCACAGATCCAAATATCCCTAGGTGCTGGTTTAGATGGAGCACCAGAAAGGCAGCACCCAGAGAGCCTGTACCATGTCACACCATGGCAGCAGCAGCCCATGCACAGAGAGGTAAGACTTTCCAGTGCTTGGCCTCCTGTTTTCCCTTGCTATTGAGTGTCTCTGACCTATCATAATTCTCTACAGATTGAAAGCGCATTGTTACCAAATGATGCAACTTTGAACTTCTACATGGGCATTCAGAAGAGCATTTGCTTTTCCCATATATATGCTTAGGGTTAGATTCTGTCATTCATACTCACAACAAAGTGGGTGGTACCTCTCCCCAGGAACTGTCCTGTGGATCTCTCTCAACTTTACAGATGATGGGACAACCTCAGAGATTCAAGGTCCCGCTTTCAAAACCAAACCAACTGCAAGTGTAAAAAAACATAACCATGTGCCCCACTGACCCCAATACATGCACTGTATCAGTTGAGTCTCTGGTCCATTGAGTGGAAGACTAGCAACAAAAATGAGGCAGGTGTTTTAAAAGTTATTTCTTAAGCACAACATGTTCAAAATAATTGCTTTAAAATGAGTTTTGAGTTTAATATAAACAATGGATAGACTGCAAATATAACGTGTACAGCAAAACTCATTTTATGATAATGCCGTCTTATATTGATGGCATTTTATGATAATGCCATCACTATTGAGATTAAAATGCTACGGTCCCTGGTCGGGTATATAAATGTCCACAGCAAGTGTATGAATCCTGGTCAAAAGCATGTATTTAATAGGGTGGTGTCACCCATTCAGCATAACATTTACTAGGTGTAATTAACATGTTAAGCAAATGCATGTTCAAGCAGTTTAGTGCATATTAAGTACCATTGTAGAATTGCTAAATTGTTCCCTTTCAGGCAATATTATCTAACATACTAACTTTAATACATGCAAACCTGAATAGGTGACAGCACTCCAATGATTTGCAAACACTGTGCAAGTGAATGTGTGACTACCCCCATAGAGACCTTTTTAAAAAAAATTAGGAACCAGGGGTTTGTTTTTTTTATACAGGCACCAAGTTACATTTTGTCATACTTTCCTGAGTTGAACTTTGAAAACAATTGCTATGCAGAGTATTAGTATTAACCAGATCAATCAAGGTCTTGCTCTTCATTGACTATAATAGTAATCATGGCCATAGACATCATATCCATGCCCTTTGTAATAGCTGTACTCATCCTCATAAGTTCTGTAGGTGTCTCCGCGGGGGTACCCATTCTCGCTTCCGTAGTTATAATCTGTTTGGCTTTCATAGCCATTTTCATAGCCAGGAGTAGGACTTTCTTCATACCCATAACCCTCCTGATCTACAGTGGTGGTAGTGTCATAAGGCACCTCATCTTCAGTGGTGGTTGTGTCATACAGCCCCTGATCTCCAGTGGTGGTGATGACAGTCGTTGCTTCAGTTTCATTTTCTTCCTCCTCTTCTTCCTCCTCATTTCCCTCTTCAGCCCCCTCATTGCCATTGCCTTCCCCATTCTCATCTAGGCCATTACCTCCATTCCCAGTCTCTGTTTCAGTAGTGTTGGTGCTAGTGCCATTAATGCCATTTCCATTTTCATCCACTTTTTCTTCATTTTCATTTTCCTCCTCTTCATTTTCCTCCTCCTCATTTTCATCACTATCTTCATTTTCAGAGCCTTTGCTTGTCCCACCTTTTTCTGGAGCCTTGCCCTTTCCGCCTTTTTTAAGGACTTCACTCTTCTCTTCTTTCTCAGGACCTTTGCAGTCTTGGCCCTGGGTTGCACATGGCAAAGAATTCAGAATTATGAAGGGATAAGTATACAAGGCAGCAACACAGCCTTTCAAAAAAAAATAAATATAGGGCCATATACTAGGATCTTTACTTCAGGCTTAATGTGCTTTACCCTTACATGACTACAGGGAAAAATAGGAGCAGAGAAGAAACCTGCTACTTGCATGCCTCTCAGTCATGGCCTATTCATGCAGGGCAGGGCAGGACAGGGCAGGAATTACACTAAATTACACTATGGATGCTTCCCCGGTTCCAACAGCTGATGGCAGGGGGAGGGGAGGTGTCCACCCATCTTTCCAATATACAAACTTTTACAGGCTAGAAACAGCAATAAGGTACACATTTTAAAAAGTGTAACACATTACACCAACCTCATCTTCTCTGCTCAGCACAGGGCACAGAAAATCCATGTGCCTGAGGCATGCTATATTGCATCAGGTATAGGATCTGGCCACATACTGGGTGATACAGTCAAGCAGGCTATTGCCACAGAGACTTGCCCCTGTATAGCTTGGCTTACCATCTACTTGCTTCTTAGCTTGTACTAAGAAGCTGAATGTGCTTCAGAGAATGAACATTGAAAAAATGTATTTTATAGCACTGTTGATCTCTCTTGCTTGTTGGAAGCAGATAGATTTATGGCACAGTGAAACCTGTCTCTACATTGAAAACTCTTTGGGAAAGGGACTTCCTGCATACAGTGCCTACCACTATAGGTTCTTCTACTAGGTCTAGGCCTATAGGAGCTATTGAAACAAATAATAAATACCCTAGATTTTTTTTTAATGGGGAGTATCAATGGGAACCTTCTTGTAAAAGGCTTACCCCAGCGCATATTAGGAGTGACTTCACTGATGTCCACTGCCTGACACCAGAGCAAAACGGGCAAACGGAATCAAGGCTAAGACATTTGATGATTCTTCAGGCCACTCTATTTAGGCAGGGGGTCATCTCATCAAGGAAGTCTCTTGTATAGGCTCCACTGTATTATACTGGAGGTCTGCAAACTTTACCTTCTTAGGAGCTTTGGTTTCTCCTTTGCCAAATCCTTTCTTGTCTACAGAGGCCTTCCCAGTGGGAGCCTCTGTGGTGGTCTCTTCACCCTCATTCTCCCCTTCATTTGACTGCTCCTGCTGAGATATTACATGAGATTAATCACAAAGGCTGTTTCGTTTCAGAGAAACAATCCCAACATGTAAACATTTCATAAGCTTTTTTCACACACAATTCCTTTTCCCTCTATTCCTTGTCCTTTCTAAAATTGTGAAACAAAGTACTATAATTTTGGATCTGTATTCAGATAAAGTGCAAGTAGTAAGGTAAGACTGTCAGATCCAGGTGCTTGCAAGTAGTTCCAGGTCAACAAAACATATGTTTTTGCATCTCAGGTACAAGTGATTACAACTATTGAAACATGTTGTAAAGTCAGAAAAGACATGGTGTCTATATATAAACATTGAACAATTAGGACCACTTTTAGTTTTGCATTGTATAGAACGAGGGCTCTCAAACTTATCTTCTACTGTGTGGACTGTGTCTCAGGGACACCTCATGACCCATTTGCTCTGTCATCCATGATTCAGACACACCCCAGAAATACGCAACACTCCTTAGATCAGTGGGAATTGTTCTGGCTTTGTATTTTGCCAAGAATTTTGTATGATGTTTCAATAAAAAGGAAAAGTAGGCTCACCTTTCCTTTGTAATTAAATTTCAGTGACTAAAGCCAAATGTTTCTGTTTGGGTTACATATTTAACAGTGGATATAATTTGAAAAACCCAAACAAAACTTTCAAGTAAGGTTGACTGAGCTCATTTTACCTAACTTCAAATACAATCCAGCATTGAGGGTTAGAAAGTTGGGTTTGAAACCAGACATGATTAGGTTTTCCTTCTGCTTTGGGGAGACTGTAGAAACAGCAGATGAAAATATTTTAGTGTAGGAAGAGTATGCGAAGTAGATCAAAGAAGTATGAAGAGTAAAGAAATACAGAGAAACTGTAGAAAAGGAACAGAGCACATAGAATGAAAAATTGTAATGAAAAAATAAAAACCATATATTTAGAGGATCTCACTTCTGCCTATTCATCTTTGAGGTTTATTTTTTTTTACATCTTGAATACATAACAATAAAACTGTTATGTAGTATTCTATATGGTGACAGTAGTTTTGACTACCATACAGCATTTATGATGGCTAGGAAGAAATATAAATGGTATTTTGATTGATTTCATCTTTACTGTGAAAGTGAAGTCCATGTCCTTCTTGGAGAGTGGATACAGAAGACAGTCTTTTTAGGTTTGATGCTCAGGTGACATTTGTAGAAGGTGAATAGAAGGCAGGATGAAAATGTAACCATTGAGACTGGTGAGGAATAGCTCCTCAAGTTCCTAAAGCTATGATTGGGAGTGTGGGAAACTTAAACTGTAGATAGCTACATTATTACTTTGGTATTGGGTTTTTCAGTAGTTCCTCTTGTTCACTTTGCTTAACTTTCCTTTGCTATTTTTGCGCGTGACTTTTGTATTAAAATTTGGAAAGAATGCATCTTATCCTACACACCTTTTATTGTAGAGACAGCCTTTAAACAGTAGTAAGATGCTAGGGATGGAAAAACAGTTTCATTTGACTCCTTTTATCCAAGCATGCTATTCACTATTTAAAAAGGAATCAAGAGAAGCAACCCTTATATTTTAGGTAAACTCAAACACTTAAAATTAGGGTTAATTTATGCCAGTGAAAGCCTAAGTAATTTTCTTCTCTGTTGAAAGAGCCACCAAATTGCATGGTGCAGCTGGCTGTTTGAATGGGACTCAGAGGTTACCATGACCCCTATAAAATAACTACTATAATGTAGCTGTTTACACAGTCATTGCTGAATTCAGCCCTTTCATTATAAATTATCTTCCTTTCCATTGTCTATAAGCAAAATCTTCTACATATATATCTTCACTTGGGAACTTTTTTTAGGCAATCATGCAATCATGAATCAAGTCAGGGTTTCACTAAACCATTTCAATTCACCTTCAGAAATGACTATATGAAAACTCAACTCCATTAAATTAAACCTCAGGACTATGAGTAAAAACATTTTAAAAGAAAGATAAAGGCTTTTAAAACACCTAGGAGAACCTAGGCTTATGTTTCAAGAGACTGTTTTTCTTCTGCCAGACTTGTTTCACGAACACCTACAGCAGTGTACAAGATGCAGATATGCTGGCTCTCTTTCAGGTTTTATGCGTGGTAAAACTTTCCAAGGACAAGATAGACACCCAACTCTAATCTTGGCTGATGAGTAATAGAGAAAATCTTTTTTACTATTTTTTTTCAAATACAGTACAGGCAACCCCCCACTTAACATGGTTTTGCTTACCATGGTTTTGTTATAACGCTCATTTAAAATACCTACCTGGTTTCACTTAGCACTCAGCATGTTTTGTTATAGCATTCAACATGGAGGGTGGGGAGAAGTAGTTGCAGCAGCAGCGGTGGTGCCATTGTCATCGAGTGAAGTGGTGAGTGGCAGCTGACGGAGCCCAGGGCAAAGTATCAGGAGCCCGGGGTCCACTCCAGCACATGGTGCTGCAGCAGCCAGCAGGTGGGGAGGAGTGGCGCCAGTGGCAGCAAGAAGGGGAGGGCGGGACGTGGGAATGTGGGGCTTGGACTGGAGCCCAAGGCTGGGGCCCAAGGCCAGGGCCAGCAGGAGCACAGGGCCCAAGGCCAGGGCCAGCAAGAGCGCGAGGCCTGGGCCGGTGCAAGCCAGTGCTCAAGGACATGTGCGCAGGGTCCCCTGCCCCAGGCTGCAGCAGGGCCAAGCTTGTGGAGCCCTCCCATCTCCGAGCTGCAGCCCATGACCCCTTCCACTCCAGTCATGCACCCATGTGTGGGGTGCAGACACCATCCTGAGCTTCCCCTGCGCTGGCTGGAGCCCTGCTGCCTTCTTGCTGTTAATCCCTGGTTGGGCAGGTCCCCGACTCAGGCCCTGCAGGTGGGGTGGCTGGGGCTGGTGGCCAGTGGGGGTGGGCTGGCACAGGCAATCGCAGCTATGGAACAATGAGGCTGGGAGGAGCCAATGCCTTCCCTGGCACAGCCCACACAGTGCCTTGCCGGGAGCGGCAGGGCCAGGGCCAGCAGGTGGTGCAGAACCAATTATATTTATTTACATTAAACCCTATAGGAAAATGGGCTTTGCTTAATGCTGTTTCACTTAGCGCTCAGTTTTTCCAGAACCAATTAAGAGCACTAAGTGGGGGTTGCCTGTATTATGTCTACTGATGAACATAAATATCATATCTAACTTAAGAAATATGGCCTTTCTTTTTGTGAGTATGATTTTTATTCTTGCAAATAATATCACCAGCTAATAGCCCAAAGCCAAATGTTCCTCATCAAATACCTAACCACACCTGCATTTGAACCTATATAAACCCTGTATCATTTCAAAATGAGGACTGGCTCTAAGTATGTCCATTTTTATTTTCCACAGAAGCTACTGGATCTGGGAGCCCCTATTTCTCAGTCCCCAATTTGAGACATCTTGGGCCTGTTTTCAAGGGGTATATGCTTACCATGTTCTGAAAAAACAAGCACTTTGAAGCAACTCTCCTTAGGTTCTCAAAAAGCACCAGTCACCATGCTAAATTTTAGCTGAAATGTTTTAAGCTATTTGCATTTATCCACAAGCAAAGCATGTTTGGGAGCATTCTGGGTCAAAGTCCTCTTTTTCTTCACTCTTTCTCAAAGTGAAAGGACAAATGTATACTCTGTCAGTTCAGTCTCTGTTTTATCTGCCAGGAAAGGTGTTTCTACTGTTCACCAGGGCACCTGATGAGAAAACCAGGAGTAATGGCCACAAACTCTTAGAAGATTAATTCAAGCTCAACATTAGGAAAAACTTCTTCACAGTCAGGTTGTCCAGACTGGAATAAGCTCCCTCCAGAAGTGGTACAGTCACCTACCCTGGAAATCTTCAAAAGGAGACTAGACAGTCACCTTGTTGGGGTCACCTGGCCCCCAGTTATCTTTCCTGCTTGGTGCAGGGGTCTGGACCTGATGATCTTCTATGAAACTTAAGAATTCAGGATTGCTGCCAATCAATAGACACTAAAGGCCTACATTATGTAGACAAAGCAAAGTCATGAAATAGTTTTTGCTTCATGTAAAATTACCTACTGTTCACCTTCCAACTTGTGGGGTTTCACCCCAATGGATCCATATCTTGTATGGAAATACCAGAGCCCTGTCTTGGCTATGCTTCCCCAGCTCAGCCTTGTGCTGAGTTGCAGAGATCACCACAGAGCACAGGTTCTCTATGCATGAAGATCCCAGACAGTTATTACCTCCTATCAGACTGGCATATAGACTTTAAGCTGCCTTTGGGTACTAGGCATCCATAAAGAGCTTCTGAGAATTTAACCCTGGGCCTTTTCAAGGAAATTGCATAATTATTTCCAGTTTGTGGATTCAGGATCATTGAAACACTCCCTTTTTGAAGTACTGGAGTAGCTAACACCATTGAGTTATTTAAGAGTATGTGGAAGCCAGGTAAACAATAGGATATAATGGCATCTTTGTAATTTGTAACAGTCAATCAAGGCCCAAAATTCAGCATTATAAATACAGAAATGTCTACGCACATATTGACCCAACAGACCACAGTGATACCAAAGAAGCTATTATTGGTGTCCAGGTAAAAATATGCATTTCCCAGAATAGCTTGTACATTCAAATGCATATTTACCAAAGGGATTATATCAATTTTGGAGGAGCCAACACAATCTAGAAGGTAAAAAAATAATATGGAGAAGATCCCTAACTTCCCAGACTGCAAATATATTCATAGTTATGTGAGGGAAGCACCATCTGTAGTCAGGATGTTTGTTCATTGTATTAATGGGTTTGCTTTGAGTTAATTCTATGACCACATTTGGGTTTTGGATTACTCTGTTCCCTAAAGGATCATGTTGCAGAGTCCTGTGGTGAGGGAACAAGGAAAACTACTTCTTTGTAAATAAAATAAGCACTGGTGAATCACCAAACCCAAGAACAGTGCGGAAGATTGCAGGCTGCTGTACATAACCCCCTCCACAAAGAACAGACCCAGACAAAGGGCCAAATCATCAGCCAGCATGACATTATTGTCAGAGCTTTGTAAATTTACACGCACTGCACAGCTGGTGCACAGGCTCCCTGAGAAAAAGAGAGTTCATTCCCATAATGCTACCCTGTTTTTTAATGCAACCTTATTGTGGGATCTAAATAGCAGCAACCCTCTCCATCATTTGTGCCTTGGTTTACTCATCTGTAAAAAGCAAACAAGCACTTACCTGCCTCACAGTATTGTGTGTCTGATTCATCATTCTATATGATCTGTGCTCATATGGTCTGTGTAAAGACCTGAGCTTCTTGCAAGGAAGGAATTACTTAAGTGTAAAGCATGATTAGCATTCCAACCTGGTAAGCCTGCAGTAGATCTGGTTCTATAATATCTCAGTTTCTAAGGCTCTGCGGCCAGAAAGCCCTGGCTCTGTATCAAACATAACTTCTTTTTTTAGATGAAGCAGGTCTTAAAAACAGTTCCGTCCAGAATGGAAACCTATGGGCAGTTAAGTAATCCTAACTATGCTCATTCAAAGAGGACAGGCTATAAAAAAATTGTCCTCAATTTTCTGCTTGTTTTGCATGTTGCTCAGTTTGTTTTGACAATGTTTGCACACGTTACTTACCCCCTCTTCATCCTCTTCATCTGAGCTATCACCATCCCCTTCCTCTTCTGATGAGTCACTGCTCTAAACAAAAGGAGAATGAGCATTTTATTTCATGTGCTTCCAAATAATGCAGTAGACACACAAAGTGTGCACCTAGGAGAGACCCAGCTCAGCACTCAAATATTGGTGGGGTACTGTTTACATCAAAGTTAATGGAAGCTGTGTGAGGCTGCATATAGTGCACGTACCTCTGCAACAGTTATTCATCTTTAAGGATGTCCAAAATGTTCAACAGATTCTGTTGATCCAATAATTAAGGGGAACTATTGATAGAGAGTGATGTGGGTAAGAATTTGTAATGTCAATCTAAATATGAGATGTGTATGGAATGCAATATTTAAAGTCACACTGATAGTTCCACCAACTTCCCAGGGAAGGAAGAGAGAGGGAAGTTTTCAATGTAGAGATAGGGAAAGTGCCTTTCATCCCAGAACATTTCATACAATATTATGCAAGTGCAGCAAGCCATGCAAGTGGCTTTCAGGGTGAATCCAGCCAGAACACAACTGCTTCACAATTACTTTGTGAAGTGACACATCTGTACATACCAGAGAGGTATCTAGGAACTTCTTGAAACTTCACACAGGCAATAGATTTTAAGATCTGGCCTCAGCCATAGTGGGCTTCATGAAACTTTGGGTGTGTAGAAGAAGCAGGGGCCCTAGATTGAAGTGGTGGGTTTTTAAAAATACTGCTTCAATTTAGGGCGGAGTGAACCCCCATGTTGTGCACACACCCATGCACTTACCTGCCTCTGGCAGCGAGGAGGAGAGAGCGAGCTGCTGGGAGGTGGAGCAGTCCCTGGGCTGTGGGGAGCAGGGCTGGTGCTTCCCTCTGCAGCAGCAGTGGCCCACCCCCAGGCAGCACCCACCCACAGGCACCCAGCTCAGGTGGTCCCGGGGGGCACCACAGCTGAGGAGGGAAGCACAGGGCCCTTGCACAGCTCAGGCAGGCAGGCAGGCTCCAGGGAAAAAAAAAGAAAAAAAAAAAGTTCAGGCTCGCCACTTTTTCTTTTCTTGGGCAGAGCCTGCCTTCCACAGGCTTCCTGCAGAGCCCCTGAGCCGCACAGAGCCTGGTGTTTCGCTCCACAGCTGTAGGGCAGCAAACTAAAAGTCCTTGGAGGAGTTTTAGTTTGCTGTGCCCCAAGTCATTTAAGGCTCGTTATGCCACCGAATTTGCCACAGTGGCTGGAATTGCTGTGCAATACGCCACTGACACGTGCAAGCACCAACACCATTAAAGCAGTGCAAAAGCATTTAACCCACTTTAAAGTGTTGTGCACACATGTCCCTCATTTCATGTACACACAGCTTATGAGAGTGGATGGGAAGGCCAAACCGATCTAGAGTTCAGTCCTCATCCTTTTGAAACACTAACCCTTTCAAGCCTATTTAGCCTACTACTATGCTGTTTCTTTCAGGTGGACCAAACAATTCCGTTGCTGCTCAGAGAATTTCATCTCTTGTGTAAGTACGCTTTTCTTTGCAGAAACTCTTCCAACAAACATCCTTCCTCCTCACAAATATATCCTGAATTATATATATTATACTTTGAAACTCTCCCAGTAAGCCCAGAGCTTCTTGGAAAAAAACAGAACTAAAGAAAATCAGATATAGGGAAGCTTATTCTGCCTGGTCAGTGCTGCCTTCTTCAAGCTAGGGCTCCTAACAAATGCCTATGCGGCACTTGATATTTTCAGTACAATGCTCAGTTGTTTAATTAATGAGATTAATGAGCGTCAGGGTACCAGATTCCAGTTTCATCCCTCTGTGAGGCAGTAAGCAAATGTGTTGGGTAGAGATGCTGTTAAATGGGTGTGGTTTCTCTGGCTTTAAGCTTTGGCCCAGACATGCATAACATTTTGACCAAACATCTTTATAATGTTTACTCTATGCCGTTGGGTTTCAGGGATGGGTACTCACTCGCACCTCCATGCCTTTGGGCTTCTGTCCTCCAGTCACCATTTGGCAGAGACCGGTGGGGTGCTAAACAGCTTTATCTTTATTAGGAACAGGATTCAGCAACTCACATGCTCACAGCCTGCTGGGAGAAGTACAACCACCCACCACCACAAACCACACCCACAGGGCATCAGGGGGAGAGACTGGGTCATCCTACTCCTGGCCCCTTAAAAGTACATACCCTATACCACAATCTTAAGCACCCTTCTTACAAATTTTTACTACCATTGAAATATTGCCAAATCACCAGTTTTCCACACAGAGCTTTAGTATGACCATTTTAATTTTTAGAGGTGTGGAAAGGAAGGGTGTAATGAAATCCCCAAAATCCAAAGGGGTTTGTGGCCTTTGTACTTTCAGACCCTTTCCATGGATGGACCTGATCGGCATACTTAGAAACTATGTGTGTGTAGGATTCTTCACTGACATTTTAAGACCAAGCCAAGGATGGGCCAGCACAAAAACATCCATGTACCCACAGGACATACCGAATCACTGTGTGGCTGAAGCATCACTCCCAGACGCCTGAAAACTTGGCTTTTGAGCGAGCCCTCTTTCAAAAGCACACCTGGTGCCTCAGCATTCAAATGCATTCCAGTAATGAGAGAGTCTGTGAAAACTGTTTTGAGTCACTTCATTTAAAAAACAATATTTATACTAAACACTGCCATTTCTCTTCATATGAGCAAGAGCATGACTCTTATAGAGCAGAATGACTTTTTAAAATGGAGTTTCCTTCCTAGTGTGATGCCCTATGTAATCATATGTGCTGTTTTCCTGTAGAATTGAACCATACTATGACCTGCCATTTTGGCAAGGTAAGTGACACATGGCTGTGTTGGCTGCAGCTCTGGAGATCTGTGGTGTTATTTGTCTATTGATTTAACCTTCCAACTATTTTATTTGTATGAATTTGTGTCTTTAAAATCAAGATGTATCACGTTAGACCAAACATCTTTGGAACACGGATACTGGGAGGAGAGGAGGTTGGTAAATCTGACTCCATTGGGCTCTATCTGTGACTGTCTGACAGCTCCTTTCTGGTGCCTTTTACAGCAGAGACCAGGGAGCTGGTCCAAGGTAATTTGCTGATTCTGTTTCCTCGCATGCAAGAGCCCCAGCTCAGAGATCACAGTGGAAACTTTTCCAGGGAGAAAGGTGTAGTTGGGGATTTCTGCACCATGTCTGACTGCCAGTTTAAGCCACAAGCAGCCAGACACAAATTAGGGCAGCTGGAAAAAAATGATATAGTGAAACTGATTCTCTCACACCAGCCTTCCACTGGTGTAAATGCTGACTTCAGTTAAATTAATCCTGATTTACATCACTGCAAATCCATCAGAAATAGTCTCAGTAGTTAGACTGCCTGTCAGGCTAGATTATAAGATATTCCACACCATTACTGCTCCCTGGAGCCGTGATTTTATTCAAACCAGCTGAGAATCTGTCCCACCAGGGCCCAGTTTAGCTACTTGAGGTTTCTCTCCTTGGCACAATTTCATTTTGGCCAGAAGAATATGTGAAATTAAACCTTAGTGGAAATGAAGTCACTGAAGCCAGGATTTCAAATCTGTTTTGACAATACACTTGAGCAGCTCACCCAGCTCCATTTTAAATTATAGAGAAAAATTGCTCAAACCCAGAAGAGAATTTGAGAGATTTGTACAACCTTATACTATGCTAGCTTTAACCAGCTTAATAATATATTACCATCCCTAAGTGCAGTCCACTGAATGTGCTGGATCCAATTCAGTCCTGCTGCAAGTGAACATACCTCTATTGTTTTTAAGTAAAAACAATGAATTATTCCTACTTATGCCACAGTGGATGACCTGCACCAGACTTTGAGCCATTTAACATTTACAATGACTTTTGTCCAATAAGTGTCTTAAATGTACATACAATCTAACAGGCAATGTTAAGGAGCTTACTTCAAAATAAAATAAGATTTAAAAAGCTGCATTTACCTGCATTCTTCTCTGTGGTGGATACACATAGGCATATCTGTAAAAATAATATCGATGCCTGTTCTTGAAAACCTAGTAGAAAAGTAAAGAAACCATATCAATTTTGGTTTCAAGTACTGAAGCTTAAAAAACATGTAAGGATAAATCCAAGAGCATGAACAAAGTACTGCAGATCCAACAAAGGTGCAAAATTACAATGTACTGTCTACACCACACATGCCTGTAGACATGCTGGGAAGCTGCTTTGATGCACTGTAATTGCAGCGCATTGGAGCAGACTCGATTAATCATGTATGCTAGAGCATACTAATTAGCACACTCCAGCCAGCCTCCATGTCTTTTGTATCAGCATTCCTGTGCTTCAAAAAGGTGATGCAGGCTCTTTAACTAAAGCTTGTTTGACGAGCTTTAGTTAAAGCACCCCCGCCACTATTCTGAAGTGCAGGGACACTGGTACACAAGATGCTGTGGCACTTTAATTAGATTGGCTTTCAGAGCTGCTCTAATTAAAGTGCCCTCCCCCCACCCTGGAGCACATGAAAAATGCCCTAACTGCCCAGGCATATGCTCTTATTAAGAGGTAGCTATCACAATTTCATTGAGGGCTAAACTACCTCTTATTTTACTGTAGAATAGGAACAGAGGCAGGTAGCAGAGAGACGTTAACATACTCCTGTAAGTTCATGCCTTTGCCTACCTTGCAATTGTTTCTTATGCCCCCCCAAAAGACAAAAATAGTTCAGCAAGTCCAGTCTCATACCGCGTTTTCTTCAGAGTCATCTGATTTTGCTCTTCTGTGGAAGCTCTTGATCTGTAAGAAAATAGGTTGAGTTACTGAATGTGCCTCACATTTACAAAAGGCACCAAGGCTATTTGATTGCAGCATTCTAACTTTTCAAATGATTTGTGAGGCTACATACATTCGTTACATTTAAATGCCTATCTGTGCAGGCATTAAGAGGAGTTAAATTGGGCAAAAAAATGGCAGGCCTGATCTAAGTTAGTTTACCTCTTCAGATGAACTAATTTAGATCAGGAACAGGTTAACTCAATCTATCAAGCATCAGTACATATTTGAAGCGCAGCCCTGGGCCTGGGAAAACTCAGCTGCTTGCCTCAGCCCTGGGGCTGTGCTCTTCTTACCCTGCCCCATACTTTTTACCCTGATGGGGCTATTTTTAGCCATCTGACCCTCCCACCTACAGACCCACCAACCCCTCTCTAATCCTGCCAACCCCCCTCCCAGACCTTCCAAGCCTTTCCAACAGACCTGCTAGCCTTACTCCCCAGTCCCTCCTGCCCCTTCCTGCACCCCAAGTTACTTACACGTGGTTCCCCATGTAGTTTTCAGTACCAATGAATGGCAGTACACCCCACTCCCTGTCTACATTAACGCGGCTTATAGTAAGCTGCATGACATAGACCAGGAAGAGTGAATGACTGGATGCACCCTAAGTTAGTGAACTGTTGGGGTTACTCACTGAGAAAGCACAAGCTATTCCCAAAAGGCAGATAAAAATAAGTGCAGTCTTCATTGTTATATTTTCTGAAAGTAACAAACAGAGTATTGTCAGCACAATTTTTTTCATGTTTACAAAATACTGAAACAGCAACAAAGCTATTAAGATAAAAATCAGGTAATCTTTTCATCCAGAGATATCCCAGTGAAACAGGCAGGCTATCTATAGCAAATAATTGTTTCTGTATGTCATTTCACAGACAAACATAAAAGCTGCTTCTCTAAGAATATGACCATTTCTGGGATTGAATGTGTCATCTCAAGATAGTCAAATCCATTGAGATACATTGTCTGATACATTTTTCCTTTCCCTCAATTGACAAATCATTCATGAATCAATCCCGAGTTCTGCAATGTATTTGTTCTTTGCAAGTATTCACAAAATAGTATATAAAAGCAAAGTAAATCAATTTTGTGGACTAAGTCTCTGTTTGCAAGGTCTGGCTGGTCTTTTAGGCCATATGTGATTGTTTCCCTTTCCCTGATGGATGACCTGGAACATTTTAGAAAACAGGAGAAAGTGAATGATGAAGTGTGAGCAATTATAGTGACAAATATATATCCAATATGAATTCTCAGACAAATGCTCTTTCATATGAGAGTTCACAAAGCTTCTGGCAACTGCAACCATTTTCACAAATAAACAAACATTTGTCCTTGTAAATGAAAAAGACCCCTATCGCCTTATGAATAATAGCAGGAAAAGTTTATCACATTTATTCAAAAAAATATGAATGAATCACATTCTGTATTATTCACCCAACAGTCACATTAACTTTCAACAAAGCTCAGTAACACTAAGAAATATTAAAATGCAGTAAATCACTAATATATAATATTGGTACTTCAGAAGGAAATATTTAGATAAACAGAATGACATGTTAATATCACTATGTCCAGGGCAGCAAAACCTGGATTATCCTTGGAGATCTTCCATCCAAGATCTGGGTCCAAACTTTGCTTGGTCAATGCAATCAGAAGATCATGAATGAGAGGGTGGGGTGCTAGAGGATTGAGATAACATTCATGTTTAGATAGCCCGATATTTCACTGATTTACATAATCCAGGACCTCCTGATTGAAAAATAGTCTTTTGTATTTTTCTCCAAACCTGCCTAAAATCTCAAGACCTTGACAGACTCTGAACAGTTTTCTGTAGTCTCCATGGGACACACTGACCTTTGAGGTCTTTGAGGAACACATAGGAGATTTGGCTAACATCTACTGCTTTCTTCAGTTTCTCAAATCACCCAGTTATGGCCAGGAGGCAGGTGACAGCTCCACTTCCTTGTTATACACTACAGCAACAAGAACAGGAAACACAGCTGTAGTTCCATACAGCTTTTTCTTTCAGGCCTATACATCTGAGACAGGGTGGGGGGAGGGAAATCTGCCTTTCAGTAGGAAGGTGTTTTGGAAAAAACTATTACTCAACACCCCAAATCCTAACTCTCTAGTAAATGGCAAGGAGATCTAGACACTAGGAGTAAGATATGGACCTGGGACAAGTGAGAGCCGCTGTAACATAGTTGATAATGTCACTGCATTTGCACCTGCCTGCCTTTGGTCCCTGACTATAATTTCTCTTCACTGAATTATAGATTTCTCTTTGGAAGAGGAAGCTTGCTCCTAGAAGTAAAATACCCATAGCTTAAGCCTTACATATTCACTTATTTCATGAAGGCGAGAGATGAGATGCTTAAAGACAATAAGTGTAGCTCTAAGAACTTTAGGAGACTTACACTGATTTATACCATCTAGGGATGTGCCTGAACAGCTGAAAATTGCACCTATTTATGACATTTGCTAAATCCATCTAAGCTCCATGTTTGTGACAGTTTCCTTGACTGAGTTTGTAAAAAGATATGTTGCTTTTTTTCTGCTGATCTATGGAGAACCTGATTTCTTTCACACTAGGATATTTTTTATGCTGTAATAAAGTCAGGCTGGGAAAAAAGCAGTAACCTCCCCCCCATGTTTTCTTAATTATTCAGTAAGGTTTGAGAGCATTTCAGTTATGAAATATATTGTTTCACATTTTCTTTTGGGTCCTGTGCAGAAGCTGATGGTGAGTTACAGCTAGGTATGGCAGACCTGGTGACCTTGTCAATAAGCATTATTACAGCAATCAAGTATTATTACAGAAATCACACTGCCTTATAAAGAGTACAGAGCATGTTTCAATCCCTTGAAAAGGAGAGGACCAATAGGTTAGAAATACTGGTGGAAAAGCTTATCAATTTCATTTTAGACACTATATAAAAAAACTAAGCAGAGGTCCTACCTGTTTGCAGTCCTGAAGTATGCAGGCTAGTTGCAAGTCAGTGGACAGAGATTTACTAGTTCTTCTGCTTGCTCACTGTAATTCTACTGAAATATAAACTCTATTTTTGCCCTCTGGTAGCCAATCACTGCTTTGCCCTATATGATGTCAGTAAGTGGACTCTTACCAGAAAACCTCCAAACTTCAACACTTTTGTAGTCACAGATTTAGTTTATAAACATAAAACATTGTTCCAGTGCCAGGAGGTTTGTATCGTTCCATTTAATTAAAGGTTTGGGCTGAGATGAATGGCTAGGAGGCTGAAATATATAATAATGTTCTGGATTTAAAATAAAATAAATATTGGGAAATCTGTTTTGGGGGATTTTTTTTCCATCTTTTTCGGAAATTCTGTTAGTGTCTCGCAAAGAAGATGCATAAAAAAGTAAAGCACAGAGAGGCCTGAATCTTCTCTTAATTACACCACTGTAAATCTGGTGCATATGAATTTGACACAACATGCATGGGCTAGATTCTCACTGTTTATAAACTGTAATCACCATGTTATGCTACACCTGAGGACCTGGCCCATTTCACCAGTACATAGAATGCGGGGAAGGAGGGCAGGGGGGCACAAATCAGTGCTCTAATAACTTGCAGTTAACATTATAATGAAGAATACTACACAGTGGGCGCTTCTACATAAGATGCGTACTGCACAGTAGCCAAATAACATTGTGCAGTAGTGTGCCAGGCAAAACCTGCGCTAATACACTATTGCACAGTGTTATTAAGCTCCTGCACAGTTAGCACCTGAAAAAACCATGCATCAGTACTACTGTGCATTAGATTAGTATTTGCTTATACAAGTACTAAACTTAATGAGCAGTGACTACGGTGCATTAATGAATATGTAGATGTGTCCAGTGTGCATAAGGCTGTTCATTTCAAAGGAACTCAACCTACTTTACAAAATATACAAAGACCTCACCCACTACCAACATTTGGTCACATCTAGGGTGGAACGTGGCAACTCTTTAAAGACACATAGTAAAGCTAAATAACTGTTTAGGGCAGAATGTGAAAAATATTTTATGCAACCCAGACTACAAGGGCACACTAAATAGGCAGAGTTCAGTTACTCGGTAGGGTCAGGATACCAGCCTTAACTACTCAACTGTTGCAGAAATGCCTTTGGATCTTTGACCACAAATGGTGAAGTCCTTCATTTTATGGCTCATCTGAAGATGCCACCTACTGCAGCTATGTTCTTTAGGCAGGCAGGTGTTTGGGCTGAGCACTGACTCAGAGGGTAAATGGCCACCCTCTGAATTATTATCACCACTCCCAAAAACCCTGTGTTTGTTGGTCATCTATCATCAGAACACTGTCTGGCTAAACTTTGCACTCATGCCCCACTTTCATCAGGCAGAGGACACGCAAGCCTAAAAGCTAACCTTTCAATAAGCTGGGAAGAGTATGTAGTGCCTAGTAGTGATCTACTATAGCAGTCCATCTTGTTATCCAGATATGCTATGTCAGTTGAGTTATCTGAAAGATAGCGGGTGAGTTGGGTGTACTCTAACACTAAAGAGTTAAATAGGAAGGAATAGAGTGGCTTTAGACAGTCAAACCTGGTGGGTATAAATACTGACAGGAACCAAGAGGTTTCACTGAGCCATATGAGTAGATGGATACACCATAAGAGAGTGCACCATGTTTGGACTGGATAAAAATGAGTCACTTGCTAGTGATGCAGGAAGGCTAACTAGCAATGGAACTGCGCAACAATTGAGATAAGTACAGTCAAACATCTGCACACAGGTGGGTGCTGAACATGTCAGAGGCAGGAAGGAACCACTGAACTATGGGATGAAATTAGAAATACAGCTAAATTGGAGAGACTCTGCAGAAGAACTGATACTGCCTGATGCAAGGGAGTAAAGAGACTTTTTTTGGGCTCAGCAAAAAAAGGAGGGCCACTCGTATGATCAAGGGACAGCAGGGTAGGTCCTATGAGGAAAGGTTGCGGGACCTGAACCTGTTCAGCCT